TAGGAGTGAAAACACAAGATGAAGAAAAGGGAATTGAAAAAACAGTAATCATTGCTGAGGTTCCAGGCCTGCCAGCAGTGCATATTGATAACAGGCAATAATAAACTATGTGGAGATGTCCGAGGCCCATGTAAATCCAGAGCATACACTTCATTTAGGCCTTGAACTTTGCCTGGAATCTCATCCTGCACGTGAAGATTACCAAGCTATTTTGTTCTTATTTCCAGTCCGAGTAAAATAGACAATAAAGAAAAGATGCTTCTATACTATTTCTATGATGGATGTTCATGACCAAAATAACTTCACCATCTGATGTATTTCACAGTTTTAAGTTAAAACAGACCTAGTATAATATGCTTGTACATCTGGCTCAGGTGCTTCATTTGCCATATGTTTGTGAAATAATCCAAGGAGATGTTACAATTGTACATTCCCCTGGGGACCTGAATATAATGTGCCTACAAAGAGTTACCTAATTATTCATTCCTGCCAGCAACATCCTCACCTAATAATAAGGGGATGCTTAGAATGAGACAATAGTGCTTTCAATCTTGAGGGATGTCAGTGCCACTTATTGTTTCAAAAACAGAAAGTCTTTTGCATTTTTTTGAATAAGAAAAAGATCCTGTGCCTCTTAAAGCAAATAAAATACTCTGCAGGGGGTATGTTTGGTATTCTTATGGGGGCAAATTCTGCAGGGCTGTTGGAGACAGGGCCCCCTTGGGACTCCTTGGATGAAAGCCCGAGGAGCCAGAGCCGAGACGCAAAGGAAATGAGTGACCCAAAAGTTGATAGTCCCTGAGAATTGGCTGCTCCAGTAATATTTCACATTTATGAAGAACTTTATAATTGCAAATCACTTTCATGTACATAGAATTCTATAACAACTTTGTGAAGCAGATAAAAAAAGGGCATACCTTTATTTAGCCTTGTCAATTGTCTTGCTGATTCTTTATAGCACTAATTAGCCAGAAGTGTGAGCATCTTCTAAAAAATTCTTTCAATTCTTTTAGTCTTGACCAATGAGCACCACTTGCCTGCCATAAAGCACAGTCCTTACTTTGCACCATTGACAAGGTTTTTTTCCTCTTTTCCTGCTACTTGCAGACTTTTATCCCATGATTCATTCATTTTCCCTCTCTCTCTCTCTCTCTCTCTCTCTCTCTCTCTCTCTCTCTCTCTCTCTCTCTCTCTCTGATTCTCTCTTAATTCAAAATGAATAATTTTACTTTCAAGGGTAAAAAAGGAGGATAAATTAGTTTAATGGTTAAAATATAGGCAGAACATGAACATACAAATTTAAATAAAGCTCTAGGCCAGGTCAAAGTCAAATGGATAAATAATGCTCTAGGTCCAGCTTTATCAACCATTAAGTCAATTTAAAAGAATGTGGGAAAGATAAAGATATCATCCAGTAAACCTCTAATAAGAGTATTAATGGTAACAAATGATATGAGGGTTGTACCTCCATAGGACTAGGCAAAAAGACCCTAAGTAGCCAGATTAGGAAAGGTTCTTTTTGCCTGGAATACGAATTTTAGAGGCTAATCTACAGAGGATGAGAGAGAGGAGGATGGGAGATTTGCCTCAGGTTACCTCGCTTGTAAATGAGTGTCAGTGCCCCTCACCTGCCTCCAAGGTGCTGGTTCAAAACAACAGGCAACTGGAAATCATCCCTTAGTTCTACTTTTCTAGTAAATCTTAACAGTTTTGACTGCTCATTATATGATATTTTCTGTACATTTGTTCCCCATGAGAGGAAGACAGAGATATTATGAGAAAGTAATTGAATATTAGTCTCTTGTTGGGATGAGAGAAATAAAAAAGAGAATATTCATAGAAAAGTGTGACAAATCACATTGGAAAATAAAACTCCACGGAGTGTTCCCTGTCCCTTCACACTGAGACCAGGTGGAGACGGCTGTACTAGTTTAAAGGGGCCTGTGTGTCCTTGGTGTTGGTATATGAGGGGTCTCAAATGGATGTCTGAAAATTCCATGGGAGTTAAAGGATCTAGTGTCAGGAATACTGAAACCCATCTCCTTGAAGGAGTCTATCTCAGAAAGTATAAGCACAGACCTCACCTAATCCCTTTCCCAACATCTACTTCAGTACATTCATTGGAATAATTAGACTCTAGTGGCCAAGAGCATCAAGCACAATCACAACCATGATCTAGAGTTCTTAAAAATGAATACATGTACCCATAGTGGCTGGGAAAACACATTCATATTATAGTACAAATTGTGGTCAAGATATACATCCCTGTCTATCTCAAGAGTTATATATATAATCAAATGAACAGTCCTGATTTTAATTTTGGCAGGGCAAGCTTTGAAATTCCCTAGGGAAAATTTTTCACACTCGTTGCAATTATATACTTTAAGAAATACATACATTTTCTCCATTCACTGAATGTTTATTGAGTGCCTACCAGTATACTACATGCTACAGATACAAAGTTGAGAAAATGAGGTCTTGCTCTCAAGTCATTTAAACAAGTAGAAAGTCATAATTGTAAAGAAGCAAAGACTGTGAGATTTACTACATTGAATGATCCACAACGTTAAGTGGCAGATTAAGAGAACACATTTCAGTCTGTCCTGGAAAACTTCCCTGAGGAATAAGAAACATGAATAGGTGTTTTCCAGGCAGACAATGATTTTAAATTTTGTATGCTGTGAGTCATGAGATGCCAATGACCAACTGTGAGCAAGGGCATGACATAATCAATTTGTTTGTATTTGAACTCTGGGGTTAGTATGAAAGGGGATATGGAAATAGGAATTGAAGTCTGGGCAAATGTCGAGAATTGTATTGCAGTAGTTAAGGGAGTTGATGGACCTAATCAACTGGAACTGTATGTAGCCCGATTAGATATGAGAGATATGAAAGGAGAAGAATATATTGGATGTGTTGTTTAGAATGTGAGAAAGGAGTCAAAGGCTCCCAGACTGTTGGCTTGGGAAACTGGACGAAGGGTCTAAACACTCACTCATATAAAGAACATAGGAGGGAGAGCAGTAGCTGGGATGGGCACAAAAGCAGAGATGCTGTGTTCAGTCTGGACGTGTTGAGTTTGCAGTGCTGGTGGGGTATGCAGATGAAAATACTCAGAAAACAGTTGGAGATATGGGACTAGAGCTCAGGGTATGCATCTGGATGTAAAGCACTGGTAGGAACAAGATCCCCCCAAAGTAAATCAAGTGGAAAAAGAAGATACTGACATTGGAGGGAAGGGCCAAGAAACGGAAACCAATCAAGGCACCAGAAGATGAGCAACTGAGGCAGAGATAAACCAGGAGAGAGAGAGAGAAATGTCATGGAAGGCAAAGCCAAAACTCCAAGAATAGGTGAACAGTCAGCAGGACAAGTCAGGTAACACAAATGCTGTTCATTTGGGTTATTGCAGTGGTTCTCAACCTTCTGGCCCTTTAAATACAGTTCCTCATGTTGTGACCCAACCATAAAATTATTTTCGTTGCTACTTCATAACTGTAATGTTGCTACTGTTATGAATCATAATGTAAATATCTGATATGCAGGATGGTCTTAGGCTACCCCTGTGAAAGGGTCGTTCGACCACTAAAGGGGTCGCAACCCACAGGTTGAGAACTGCTGGGTTAGTGGATAAAGCAGGGCAGTCTCAGTGCAGTGAGACGGGTAGAGCCAGGGTGTGTGGACTAAAAAGCGAACAAGTGCTGTGGAGTCACAGAGGGTAAAATCGAGGTTGCACTTTGTAAAAGAAGAGCTCCAATGAAAAAAGCATGAGAATGTTTCAAAAAATATATTCATTAAATATGTGTTTTTTGTTGTTCGTTTGTTTTTTAAATAAAAGGGATAAACTTATTTTATACTGAGGGGAATAACCAATAGAGCATTAAAGGTAAAAAAGGACATTATTCATAAAGTAAATTTCCTAAGGAGTCATGGTGGAATAATGTCCATTGTATCAGTGGCTGGAGTTGCCTTTGGTAGGAAAATTGTCTTGCTAGAATGAGAACAAGGAAAGAATGGGTGAGGATGCAGGCAGGGGCTCATGAGATCATGGGTGGGAAAATGAAGGAATCCATTCTTGATTATGCTAATCCTTAACTTAGAAACAAGGTCACCCCCAAAAGAGAAGATTGACAGCTTTGAAGAATGGTAAGGGCTTGGAATAGCAGTGAAGGGAAAGGGAGAAGCTCTTGTAATAGGACTTCTGAGTAGCCGTGAAGGCACAACTGAAATTAGTTTCACTCCAGATTTATAATCTCCATTCTATATGGTTGTGATTTTTCTTTCCCTCCAGCGGAGCAGTGCTCAAGGAATGTTTACTGCTAAGGAGGCCCCATGGAGGATTGCTTGAAGGACATGAAGTCCATCCATCTCTCCAGGTAGTTTAGATTCTATCCCAAGATCAAGGCAAACCATATCACCTCTGCTTTTGTGCCTATTCCCAGTTACTGCTCTCCCTCCTATGTTCTTTGTTTTGTTTTTAAATATATTTTATTGATTTTTCACAGAGAGGAAGGGAGAGAGATAGAGAGCTAGAAACATCGATGAGAGAGAAACATCGATCAGCTGCCTCCTGCACATCTCCCACCGGGGATATGCCCGCAACCCAGGTACATGCCCTTGCCCGGAATCGAACCTGGGACCTTTCAGTCCGCAGGCCGACGCTCTATCCACTGAGCCAAACCGGTTTCGGTGTGTTCTTTGTTCTTGAACCATATTGTTTGGGCTTCTTTTACTTTCACTCGCTTTGATTGAATTGCATGTTTGCATTGGGCCTCATCTTGTGTGGAGGGACCCAGTGGAAACAGCCATGGGCCTGTCAGCATTGTTAGCATCGTGGGGGATGTTAAGAAAGGCACTAGCCTCTGAACCATTCATGTTCCACTTAGGAGCCATTTCCCTTAGACCCAAATGCCAGGAAACAATTGGTTGTTCATGAGTAATGACAATGTGTTTATGTGTTCACCTGGAATAAAGCCAAGGATGGCCAGGCGGCGTGTCATCTTGAAATTAGAATGCTGAGGTTCAAATCCAGCAGCCGTCACCTATTATCTGGTCAACCTTAAGACTCTTAACTTCTCTGCGCCTCAATGTTTTCATCTATAAAATAATGAAAATAACTGTACTTACTTCATAAGGCTGCAGTGATAATTAAGTGAGACACATAATGTAAAACTGTTTAGCACTGTGTCTGACAAATCACGAGTTCTCAATAAATATTAGCCATTATTGTTATTATGATTATCTTACCGCTGCTCTCTTTGGTTTTGTGTGTTTTGCCGTCATCCTCTCTGTAACAAGCATTTGTATGTAATTTGCTTCTGGTTTTCACTTGTTATTGTTTGCTTTTGCTCTTTCCCCAAACTTCACTTCTTCGTTATCTGGTAGTTATCTGGTATTTACCTGGCGTCATTTTGGAATGAGGCAGCATATATGGAAGGAAGTCTTCTACCAATCAGTGACTATGAAAACTATCCTGTCTATTTTTGTCCCTGTTTTAGAAAAAGTTTCAAAGATGATAAAAAGGACTTGGAACTTTCTTCTCCCACATTTGTATCCAGAAATGCCAAGTTTCCTTGAAGTCTATTTCACCTGATACTTATGTTTCTTAGAACCATTCTTGATCAGCCCCTACTTTGCCCTAACTCAGCCTTTGTTCCAGTATTTCTCACTGTAAATAGACAACATATTACTTCAGTTGTGGAGAGAGCTGGATGATTGTAGCTTGTGGTAGGATGAGGACTGAATTTGGGAGTCAAAGGGCCTGGGTTTGGATGCCGGCTCTGCCACTTACTAGTTCCTTGACGTTGGGACTCTGACCTAGGTTCTTTCATCTGCTAAGTAGGGTTAACAATATGGACCTCAGAGTGTGGTTTTGAGACAAAAATAAGGTGCTCAGCAAAAATTGGTCATATCTGCATCTAGTACAAAAGATGGTATTCAAATAGCCATTGAAACTTGTACTTGAAAAAATTGGGCCAAATATATCAGTCTTTTTAAATATATTTGAAAACAACCTAAATGTATTTTTTTATTGAACTTATTTATTTGAAGTAACATTTACTAGCCATTTAGGAATATTTAGTCAAAAGAATAGTCTTTCTTTAAGACTATTCAAGAAATTTTCATCTTGATATCAGAATATTGACCTGGCCTGTAATGTCATCAGAGAAACATGAAAATTACCCCAGGTCATAAGCTTTACTTTCAACTAAAGAAACAATCTGTGAGCCCTGAGGTACAAATAAGTCTGCTTTATCTCCTGGCTTTGTTTTTGTTTTATTTTTCTTATTGCGTTTGTTGCTGCCTAGACCAGTAAGTATGTGCAGATGAAAGGCAGCTTTTGTTTTGTTTTAATTCATGGTATGTGAGTGTGGGGTGTTTTATCCCAGGTGTTAATAACAAAAGGATAGCAAATGGGTTTAGGCCAGTTCTTCAAGGAAACAAGAGGACTCGTTTCCCTGCCCCCTCCTCCTCTTTCAGGCCCAAAGTTGAAACCAGAGGACCTGTGTTGGTGGGCCACTCCCACCACCACAGAACATCCCCGAGCAATGCATGTCGGCCAGCACAAAGAGAGCCCAAGTACAATGGTGGGTCTTCAAAGGGGCTCATTTGTTATATTGCTCAGTGCCCCACAGAGTTGCTCCAAGCTCATAACCGCCACTGATTTCAAAGAGAGCTCTGAACTGGCATACGCTCCACAAGGCGCGGCACGGGATGAGAAACAGGCTGAGTAGCTTAAAGCTACGTTCAGACATTTTTTTAATGTTCATAAGTGTCTTTGGCACCATCGCGTTCACAGAGAAACCCACCTACCTCCCACCGCAAAGTGTGAAATGAAGCAGTCAGCAAGCCTAGGTAGGGGATGGTCTAGAAATTGGGCTAAATCTTAAAACTGCATGAAGACTGAAAATAGGCTCCAGCACTTACTAAACCACTTCTAAGGGCAGGTCACCTCACCATGACACTGCTCTGTGAGATACTGTCTGTGCCACCTTTAAAGGGAATGACAGTAAAATGCGGTCATCTCAGTGGCTTCCAAATGAGCCTGGGGTTAAACGGAGGGGCTCTAGCTCCAAGGCATCTCAAGGTAGATGGTCTGCAGGGAAGGAGAGAGCACTGTCTTAGCTGGTGCTTGACTGAGACTCAACTGGCACATTCCTGGGAAATCTCAAGATAGGGACTGCTGTTTCCTACCACACTTCTCTACCTCTGGAGATGCTGTAGGTCCCTCCGTGGTCCAGGAGGTTTGTGGAAAACAGATTAGAATCTATCAAAGACTTTCTCCTTGACCACCTGTAAAAAGATTAGCCATCTTCCCCAAGTCAGTTCCTATGGCTCCCTTGTCACCAAAACAAGGAGAAAGGGATCCCTTAGGGACTCAGAAATCACTTTAAATACCAGAAAGCTTTTGGTTAGATAATTCTCTAGGGTGCCCCCTGGACAACTTTGAGCAACTTGCTTTAGGAAGAATGAAAAAAAAAAGTGTCCTGTTCAAATTCACTGTTGAATAAACATTCGTGAAATCTTGGGCAAGGCATTATATTGGGCATCATCTTTAGTAGGAAACAGAAAGTTATTTATTTGGGAAAAAGGGAATTAAATAATGAGACATTAGATGTGGTTTCCAGAAATACAGAGGTACCCTCTGCAAGTTTGAAACTATACAGTTTATTGTTTAATGTTCTTTGAGAAAATACTGCTAAGAATTTATCTGCTATAAGTTCTCACTATTAATTTATTCCTTCAACCAGTGCTTGCTGAGCACCTGCTGTGTGCAGATGCAGTGGACAAAGCAGGCAAAAGTCCCTGCCCTCTGGGAGTTTTTGTCCAAATGGCGAAGACATAAGATAACAAGCAGTAAGAAAACGTTTGAATGTCTGAGATGATGATAAGTGCTATGGAGAAAATGAGCAGGGATGAGGGCCAGGACTGACAGGGTGGGATGGGTGTGCAATTTGAGGTGGAGTGGTGGTGTGCAGTGTCCTTTGAGTAAACAATTTGGGGAGGAGCTCTACCTCTAGACACTTGCTTTTTTATTGTTGCTGTTGTTGTTAGTGTGAATATTACTGGAAAGTTACTCAGAATTACCTAGAAGTCTTTCTGAAACTTAAATGATAAAGCCAGCTTGCCAAAGCTGCCCTGCTCTCGGGTCCAGTTTGGCTGTGTTGTGGCATGACTGTGAGGTAAGTAAGCTCCATGGAAACGGCATTGCATTTGGTATTGTGTTCTGTACACAATGAGAGCTCAATACATGCTGTTCACCTCTACATAAGATCCATGGTCTTCCATCAGATCTTTTTTTTTTTTTCTCAAAAAGAACTTCTCCATAGTTTTGTCTTTCTTCCAGGGGCCTGTGAGTAGATATAGACATATGAGGCATCACAAGTAGTTTCTGGAAATTTATCAAGCTACATCGCCTGATGGTAGCATCCCTAAATTCCCCAATCATCATTGTAAACACCTTTGACTAATCTGGCTCCACCTACTGTGAAGCTTGTAATCCTTAAGCACTCGATGCAAAACGCCAACGGGCTGCCTCCCTTCCATCCACTACATCTCCTTATCTCTAAGAGACGGCCACCTCTTACCCCTAAAACACAATGTATTTCTATACTTTCTTCCTTCTTTTTTAAATCTCTCCTTTTCTTCCTTATCAGTGTTGTGCCAGGCATTTTGCATTCCCATAGGCCCTATCTTAACTACGCTAAAAAAAAGAATTCCTCATATAGGCACTGTTAGATGCCCTGAAAAGAACAGTGTAGGATGGGAAGACATGAAAATCAGTAGTAGTATTTATTAGAGGAAATCTCTCAGTAGAATATATGAATGCTGCTGCTGCTAATGGCATGACCTTCTACCCGTCCAAGAGTTTACAAGTCCTTTTACCTATATAGTATCTCATACAATCCTGTACATTTTTACTTCTCAAAGTGTGGTCTATGATCAGTAGCACTAGCATCTCCTGGAAGTGGCTAGGAATGCTCAGGCTCCTCTCCTCCTGAGCCAGGCTCTGCATTTTAACAAGACCAGGTGCTTTGTACACACATGGGAATTGGAGAAGCTCTACTCTAAGTAGTCCTGTGAGTAAATCAGAAATCCCCTAGCCCCGTGGTCGGCAGACCGCGGCTCGCGAGCCACATGCGGCTCTTTGGCCCCTTGAGGGTGGCTCTTCCACAAAATACCACGTGCGGGCGCACACATACAGTGCGAGTGAAACTTTGTGGCCCATGTGCAGAAGTCGGAATTTTGTGGAAGAGCCACCCTCAAGGGGCCAAAGAGCCGCATGTGGCTCGCGAGCAGCGGTTTGCCGACCACTGCCCTAGCCTATTTCACATATTAAAAAATCAAACAAAACTGAGGTTCACAGACGTTTACTTAGTTAATAGGTAACAAGACTTAGAGTCAAAAATCAATATTCTTTCCACTACACCGTGCCCCCTCTTTGGATGCGCTTGGAAGAAACTGTTGCATGCTTCTTTTGGGGTCTAACATTACCAAGCCCAGTATTTCAGTGGAGATCTGAACAGTAATTACAGCCTCATATTGTCCCCTGGTGGTAGGCAGGCAAATGCTAATCTCCAGCTTAATTATATATTCCTTATGTAGGATGATCTTGCTGCTGCTTGTCTAAAAAGTCCAAGGTTAATTACATGAAAGAAGTTTCATATTTAGAAATTTCTCTAATTCCTCCAATTCCTTATCAAGGAAGGAGATGTTTCTGGCTAACAGCTTTTGAAGTTTCAATTGCACATGTTCTTTCCTAAGCAGGCTCTTACGTATTTCATCTGGTCCTCTTGAAGGGAAAGCGAAAGGCAGCTAACACATGGCAAGTACCTCTTTGTACACCAAGCTCAGTGCTCTGCACGCGTCATCTCGTGACTCTCAGAGAGACCTAAGGATTGGTTGTTACCCTATCTTACAGATGTGGAAGTTGAAATTCAAAGGTGACACACGTGGCAATGTTGGGAATCAAGTCAGATTCTGTCCCACCCCGCTGGCTTCTTCACAGAAGCAAGTCTTGCTTGCATTAGCATGAAAGGTGACAAAAGGTAAGAGACAGGACTACCATTACCTTCTGTCTTCTGCCACCACTGATG